CAAGCAATGGGGTGATTATTATTCCTAACATGAACGAACAAGGCACTGCTTTCAGATGCAGTTCTGATATTATACTTATGTTGTTTGATTCTGAGCTGCAGTGTTTTTCCTGTCTGACCTACATAATTACAATTACATTTGCTACATGGAATACAATAAACACTTCCATTTACATTCAAACTTGGGCTATTCCTTATTAACATATTGGTAATGGTTGAGTCATACTTGAAAACAACATTAATATTTAGAAGCTTGAGGGACCGAACTAACGGGACAAATTCATCACGATAGGGCAGAGTCAAAATATTCTTAAGTGTAGGAACTTGTCTGGTTAGAGAGGAATGAAAGGATTTTTTAGCCCTTTTAAAGCAACGATCAACAAACACAGAGAGAGGCTTAAATATACAGGGTGACCTTAAAAACATGAGGTCAGGTCATAATGATGCCATCCACTAATCCCCACACCAACACACACGTAGAGGAGCTTAAGAGAAGGGGGGTGACGTGACTAGTCAGGTCAGGTCAAAAATAAGGGACCCATTAAATAACTATCATACATCTAGATCAAAGGTTTTCAAAGCAGTATACTGAGTATAGTGGCCACTCTACATGTTCATGCATTATATCATATACTCTATTTTTCATTGGCTGAGTATTGTTTGTTTTACATTCCATTCTTCGATTCTTTAGTATTTCATTGACCACAGATCAATGACGTCATACAACCCCACTAGTAGTGGCGGGGGAGGGGCTAAACATTTATTAATATAACTAAGTTTCTATAATCATTTTACACTTTCTGGTGATCACAATATATTCTATAACCCATGCCATATTTCATAGTTGTATAGGCAACTCAGTAGGGCGTGTTTGTGCCCACCAGGTCAGGGTTGTAGGGCATGTTTGTGTCCCCCAGGGAGCCAGGGCTGCCTGTAGAACATGTGTGTGTCCCCCGGGGGGTCAGGGCTGTAGGGCATGTTTGTGTGCCCCCCTTCCCCAGGAAGTCAGGGCTGTAGGGCATGTTTGTGTGTGTCTTCCAGGAGGAGGACCCTATGATGTGTAGGAACATAAAACTCTCCAACAGTAGGTATAGAAGCATGTTAAAGCAGAAGAGGTTGCAGCAGGAAGAAAATAAGAGGAAATTTTTGTTAAAAAAACAGAATAAAAAAAAGCAGTGTGAGGAAATGGCTCAAAAAACAAGGAAGAACAGAGAGGCCTTCCAGCAACAAAAACAAAAGCGTTTATTCTCCCTGAAAAAACTAGCTGATGGGAAAGAAAACTAAATATTTTGTTTGTATATATCATGGGACAGGCTTATTGTTCTTATTTTAGTGCTACATATGCTATTAAAACCCCAGTTGCTGGTGCATTAGAGATAAATCCCTTTGGTAAGTATTAAATTTTGAATTCTCACACAATGCAGTGCAAAAAAAATTACCTTTTAATTTATCTTCTCAATAATGGTACACAATTACCAATATTAAACAAATTCAAGTTTAGTAACTAAATTTTGTAAAGGAATTATTAAGACGATGTGCATGAAAAATATTGTTGCCCTAAACATACAGTACATGTTTGATTTTGGGTACTGTGTATTTTAACCATTAGGCTCTCTCGAAATTAGTAACAATGTGAGAAATTCTGTTAAATATGGTAAAAACTTCCCGGGTAGGTGTTTCCCCGGACCCCCAATTAATTATTTGTTTTTCCAAAGCCCCAATCACATCCCTGGTGTTTGTCTGTATGTATGTGTTTCGTGTGTGTGTGTAAAGCGACATATAATCACAATTCAAATATTTACACCAGACTATACCAGATAACATACAGTATACCATTAGAGTAGACTCCAGATTACAGTATACATGAATATACTAAAAAATATATATCACATACTCTGTAACTCCTCTTCATTACGGGACGCCACTTTTAATATTTGATTGGTTGTTATTTCGGCCGTAGTCTTGATATTTTATGCACTCTTCCTTTTAGTCTTGTGGACGGTCCTACGGTTAACGCAGTATTTTGAGTTCTTGAGGTACGGTTGTTCATGTTTACCTGTTAATTCTCTTAGTTTTTATTTATTCTCGTTTTTTATTTTTATTTTGCATAAGATTCTACATAATTTTCCCCATTTTTTTTTTATATTTTCACTATACTACTTCTTTCATTTGATATTCCTTCTTTTGTGTGATATTATTCCTTCTTTCATGTCATACACCTTTCTTCACTACTAATTTCTTCCTTCTCTACATATTCCTTCATTTATTACATAATACTTCCTTCACTCTTGATCTCCTTCTTTCACTCCAACTACATCGTCACAACATTGCCCTTCATTTACTAACTATTGCTTTATTCACTGCATAATCCCTCCTTCACAACAACTACATTCTTTCGCTACATATTATTTCCCTCACTACATCAACACTACATAATCTATATCTATCCGCCAATATATATATATATATATATATATATATATATATATATATATATATATAAATATGGTCATTGAAAGCCACATTTTTCACTGCCCAGAATATAGTCAAGCTGTTAACATCACTCTAGTATATGAAACAGATAAGACTCGTAATATAGCCTAATACATATATTTATAGAATGAAAATATAGCCATCCTCCCCCTCCCCCCTTTCCTCTGTCTACTCTGTTTATGATATAGCTGGGATAACGCCATTTCCTCAACCCTGTAATGTTACTATAGCTGGGATAGCGCCACTTGCATTACTATAGCTGGGATAACGCCATTTCCCCAACCCTCTAATGTTACTATAGCTGAGATAACGCCATTTCCTCCCCTGCCTCTAATATTAATGCTATGACTGGAGATTAATGAAATTCGGAAAAAGGGTGATTTTCTTTTACGTTCAGTTATGATGTCGACTAGTACTGTACCTTTATATTATACAATACTATACCGCCACTCTCTCACATGCAATACAGCGTGTCTCAGAAACATTTATATAGACAGTACAGTATATGAAGCAAAGGCTAGAATGTAAGGGTAAGCTTTCATTTATTTTGCATTTATAGTCAGCTTATCTTAAATGCTTTAATACCGTATATATATATATATATATATATATATATATATATATATATATATATATATATATATATATATATATATATATATATATATATATATATATATATATATAAGAACAAGCTTTTTAACTTTAAAGTTAAATTCAGATTATCTTCCAAGTTTTATTATACAGTATACACAAAAGACACGAATGTGTAACCCGCATGGCCCAGGTGCTGTCATGCGCATGGGTAACGCATTTTCGTGCATTGATAAGTTGACCTGGTAATCTATGGATCTTGCTTATACCAACAGTAACATTGTCCTCATTTCAGGGAGATTGCGCACATCAACAAGTGAGGTGTTGCAGCTGCAGTACAAGCATTCATGCGATTTCCACGAAAATCTGTCAGGCAGTATAGAGTATATACATTTTTCTGAGGCACCCTGTATTTTACCATATAATGTATCCATATCATCGTCTTTATATAGTTTTATAATTATTTGTGGCAATGTGTGACCAAGTTAAAAAAAAACACACATGAGAACCACTGGTATATGTAGGCTAATGCAGATAATAGTGTGATAGGTAGTAGGCAGCTATCCAACAGGGAGGTACTACCTCCTGGGAAGATATTGGAAGCATAATGTGTTGTCTAATGGAAGACCCTGCTGCCATATGGCCTCACATAAATTGTGACCAAGTCCCAGGTTGCTGATCTGACTTTCTGCCTCATTTACACACAATTGCAGGGTCTCAATTGTTTCTCTTACTTTTAACAACACAACATACAGTGTACAGTATATCGGTTTTCATTCTCGATTTATTTGTTAATTTTTTGTATTTATGGTTATCATTATTTTATTATTAATGTGTTACTATTATTATTATTGTTATATTTATTTTTTATATAATTATTTATTTTTATAAATTAATTATTATTAGTAGTAGTAGTAGTATAATTATAGTTATATTTTCGCCTCCCCAGACTCTGATGTGGGTCAGTGACCTGTGCCCGGGTGGTCTGATCCCGTAAAAAGAAAAAAGAAAAACAAAGTACTGTATCGGATAGTGTAGTCACGGACAACTCCGGGTGCCGTGGCTAATCCAAGATTATGATAGTTTAGCAAATGAACATTTATAGGATCCGTTTCATTCTTCGAAACCTATTTAGTTTAATATCAATATTTTGAACTTTACCACCAATAGTTAACCGGCTATTTGGCGGATGTTTGCACTTTTAATCACGTGACTGAAAGTGACTGAAAGATCTTCATCGTCTGACACTCAGAACGGCTCTTCAGATTAAAAATACAGGTAAACAATTTCAGAAAAATTATAATGTTGATTGGATGTTATCAATGGGATTTAACTTCAGCATTTCCGGGATGAAAAGACTATTGTAAACCCACAAAGATTCTGAAACTAATTTGTTACCTAACTAAACTCGTGTTAAGAAAATGTCTAATTAAAGTAGGCCTTTAATCTTAGGGTGATTTTCATGTATTGTACGTTATTTTTGTGCTTCAGTTGAAATTATATTAATTAATTGGTATATTTACTTGAATGTGGCGTGGAGAGAAGCTATAGGATAAATTATTTCTTAAAAAAATAAACCTGAATTTAAGAAGACTATTCACCCAAATGCCAATTTTTTCCTCAACAAATTAAAAGGCAAAACACGCGTGACTACTGTAGAGTCCAAGGGTGCGGTAATGTTTGACCAGGTCACAACAAATAAAGATAAATTATTTCATACGAATAAGTCTGAAAATGAGAAGATTATTCATGCAAGGGAGACAATAATATATTTTTTACAAAATATTAAAAACAAATATGTGGTTACAAACTCCACAGAAGATGCTGGAATGGTTAATATAAAGAAAGGTCAAATTCAAATTTAGCGCGCGCGTGGGGCCCCCAACCAGTGCTGCCATCTATGAAGTGGTCATTGTTTTGTTCGGCGGGCGGACATATTTACTTCTCCATTTGTGTAAAATATCCTCGTTTTTACCACTCTAGGCGCCAGTGGTCTCTCGAAAGGATACTGTAGTTTATTTAAGGTAAGAAGTAAGCCGTGTATCACTTAGCGGAGGGAGAAACACTGGAGTGAGTTGAAATAAGAGAAGAAGTGGAGGGGTGGCTTGCTACAGCAAGCGAACTCGGCTAAGAGCGGCAAAACTCACCCACCGCTTCACAAACACGACGTGACTTTTATCATCTGTCAAAAATATACCACTTAACTCACCCGAGGGCCTTAATTAACCCCATAAAATTAAAGGTCTCGTTCAAGTTATCCATGTGAGGTCATTGTATACAGAGGGTTAATATGGAAATTATACGTAAAAGTGAGGTTAAAATAGACTAATTGTGAGGACAAGTAGGCACATAATGTTAGCTGTGTAGCAGTAAACATTGAGAGCATTTGGCCTACGTTGATTGACATTGATTCCCACGTGAACAGCTTACACTTGTTGCTGACGGAGTTTGGAGTGGCTAGCTACGCAATGGATCAGTTGTAATGTGCATTTCCTTGCACAGGTTCTGGCTAATTGGCTTCAATGAGTCGTTTGGTTTTCGAGAGAGTTTATCATAGTAAAAACCCTGTGTAAGAGGCACAAACGACCTGCAAAATACATGGTAGGTTCTCAGGTACTTGAATTTATTTTGTATACTTGCTTTTTAACCCAAATCATGCATTAATGTTTATCATGAACTTGTTTGTAAACTTTTAGCCTCCACACTTGTGGGTTGATTACCGGCAAGTGTGTGGTTGTTTTGTTTTCATGTTGGATGTACAGTAGTATTTGTTATTGGGGAAGTTGATGTGTGTGTCTAAGAAGAATTGGTAGTTTATTATTTTTTCCTTAACTCAAACAGTATATACTCTATCCACATCCTTTCAAGTGCTTGTTTGTGTAGTTACCAAGAGGTTATCACTTAATGCAGAAGTAGTATACATCTTACGCTTTTTGTGTAGTGGCTTGAAGGCTTCTGTAAAAGAAGTGTTTATTTTTGACTGATCCTACCGATTTTCACAATGGAAAGTAAAAGTAATATGCTGTTAAAAGTAATTACTCAATCACTCGTTGCTGAATAGCCGTAATAAACTTGTATGATGTGTGAGAAGTGTTTTAAAGTTGTTGGGAGTGATTTTTGTTTCATCTAAGTTATTGTGAATAACATGATAACTGTCTCATGAGTGGGAGTAGTTGACCTTGTTAAGTGGTTTGTTGATTCTTGCTGCTGTGGTAAACTGTGTGATGGTAGGGACTGACTTACATAAGAACATAAGAATGGAGGAAACTGCAGCGGGCCTATTGGCCCATACTGGGCAGTCCCGTTTACACCCAACCCCTATTGCTCATATAAGCATCCAACCTATGTTTGAAGCTATTCAGCATATTCGAGTTAATGATGATATTTGGTAACTTGTTCCATTCATCCACCACTCTGTTTCCAAACCAGTGTTTACCTATTTCCCGCCTAAATCTAAATTTGTCTAATTTAAAACCATTGTTACGAGTTCGCTCCTGGTTGGATAGTTTGAGTACCTTTGTAATGTCCCCGTTGTTTAGCCCTGCCTTCCACTTGTACACCTCTATCAGGTCGCCCCTCGCTCTACGTCTCTCGAGGGAGTGCAAATTAAGATGCTTTAACCTGTCTCTATACTCAAGGTTCCTAATGCCCGGGATTAGTCTTGTCATTCTCCTCTGAATTCTTTCCAAGGATTCTATATCCATTCTGTAATACGGTGACCAGAACTGAACTGCGTAATCAAGGTGTGGTCTCACAAGAGCAAGATACAGTTTTAGGATGACCTCGCTAGTCTTGTAACTAACACTCCTTTGTATGAACCCAATTACTTTATTAGCCTTGTTACGAGCAAAAACACATTGTTTACTTGGCTTAAGATTCCTACTTATCATTACTCCTAAATATCTCTCGCAGTCGGATTTCTCTATGGCATCGTTGTTCATCTGGTATCTGGTTTCCCTGTGTCCATCTCCTATACTGAGTACTTTACATTTGTCCACGTTGAATTTCATCCGCCATTTTTCAGACCATTCGAAAAATTTGTTTAGATCTTCCTGTAGTTTTGCCGAGTCCTCGTCAGATTTAATAACACGTCCTATTTTGGTGTCATCAGCAAATTTACTTATGTTGCTGTCTATGCCGATATCTATGTCGTTTATGTATATAATAAATAATAATGGTCCAAGTACCGAGCCTTGGGGAACTCCACTTGTGACGTTGCTCCAATGGGACTTGCTGTTTCCTGTCCTGTAACCACGCCCTAATCCATTTAAGGATGTTACCTTTGATGCCATGAGCTTCTACCTTTCTAATTAGTCTTTCGTGGGGACTCTGTCGAAGGCTTTGCTAAAGTCGAGATATACCACATCATAATTGTGCCCCTCGTCCACCAATTCGAAAATGTTCATTTTGATTTTACAGGGATATGGTGAACTTTAACTTTTCATTGTGTTTGACTAGCATTGTCTGTGATTTAAATAACTACATGTACTGTAAAGGCTACCAGGTTAACCAGCATAACCATCCCTAATTGGTTAATTAGGCAGTAACCTCGAAATATATATACTGTATTACAGTCTGTAACTATACAATAGTTTGTAGGTGGCCAAGCAGAAGGCCAGTAAGTAGTGACCTGTGTTTGATAAGGATCCCTCATTTGTTCTTGATAATTGCATTTTCTTTATATCTTTGATTGTAATGTTCACTTAAGTGTGTTTTAATGTGTAGAATGGAAATTTAGTTAACATGCATTTGAATTAATTAAAATCAGCATTTTGTTGTCCAAACCTAACTTAAGCAAACATATGTAAACAAACAAGACAGCAATCTTTACATGAGGATTTAAGAACATAAGAATGGAGGAAACTGCAGTGGGCCTATTGGCCCATACTGGGCAGTCCCATTTACACCCAACGCCTATTGCTCATATATCCATCCAACCTATGTTTGAAGCTATCCATCGTATTTGAGTTAATGATGATATTTGGTAACTTCGTTCCACTCGTTCACTACTCTATTTCCAAACCATTGTTTACCTATTTCGCGCCTAAATCTAAATTTGTCTTATTTAAAACCATTGTTACGAGTTCGCTCCTGGTTGGATAGTTTGAGTACCTTTGTAATGTCCCCTTAGTTCAGCCCTGACTTCCATTTATACACCTCTTTCATATCGCCCCTAACTTTACGTCTCTCAATGTCATTCTCCTCTGAATTCTTTCCAAGGATTCTATATCCATTCTGTAATACGGTGACCAGAATTGAACCGTGTAATCCAAGTGAGGTCTCGCTAGCGCAAGATACAGTTTTAGGATGACCTCGCTAGTCTTGTAACTAACACTCCTTTGTATGAACCCAAGTACTTTATTAGCCTTGTTTCGAGCAAATACACATTGTTTACTTGGCTAAAGATTCCTACGTATCATTACTCCTAAATCTTTCTCGCAGTCGGATTTCTCAATGCCATCGTTGTTCATCTGGTTTCCCTGTTTACATCTCCTGTACTGTCAGGCTTTATTGCCTTGGGTAATTTATCCACTGCTTTTATTCTTCTCAAATGAAAAGAAATCAATGAAAAGAACCGATGTGTAAAAAATTCAAGGAATATGGAGATGATTGCTCTTAAACCAACATCCCTTTGTTTTTCATAACCATCATGATTTAATGGCCATTTCCACACTTACGTGGGTTAGCTCTGCTTGCCTGATGGCAACTCTCCATACTCCATACTGCGTGGTCTCGTGCAGCCTCTCATCAGATTCTTGACTGGTGTCAGTTCTTTCAACCTCTCCGTCTGTCATTCTTAGCCTGCCACTGGCGCTCCTACCCCTCTGTGTTCAAACTTGTATTCCTCTTGAACCAATTGGTCTTCATCATTCTCTTCATATACCCCAACCATATTTCAGCCTACCTCTATGCTAGACCTTTCCATGATTCTTAATACCCAGTCTCTCTCTTAGCTTTGAACAGGGTTTCCTATCTTTCAGGGTCACATAACACATACACCTCACCAATCTCATTTCAGCCCACTCAAGCTTGCATACAGTATATGTATCTCCCACAACTTCCCATGTTTCAGTGCTGTACATTACATTTTCCACATTGGTTGCATAAATCTTTTCTTTAACACTAAACACGACAAAGAGAGGACTCAGATCACGACTAACCTAATGTCGACTACACAAACAGTAGAACTATGAGAAACAAAAGGGATGAAATTAGGGCATTGGTATATACCCAAAAATTTGATATAATAGCAATCACTGAAATGGATAAACTTAGACTTACGTGAGTTACCTGTCGAATACCAAATTAAAGGCTACAAATTATTCCATGCCAAGTGGCAGATTAGGAAAGGAGGCGGGGTAGCAGTCTATGTCAGGGATAATCTGAAGTGCAAAATCAATAAGGAAATAAAAAATGAACTGATTACAGAAACAATTTGGATGGAATAAACCATGGCAGGGAAAATTAATCATAGGAGTAATATATGGACGTCCTAATCTCAATAGAGTTAATGAACGACTTATTCGGGATGAAATGCGCAGGGCTTCCAGACATAGCAAAGTCTGCATAGTAGGCGACTTTAACGTAAGTCAAATAGGTTGGACCGACCTTATGGGTAATTCAGAGTCTGAGGATTTTCTTGAACCAGTTTAGAACTGTTTCCTCAGTCAACATATAGCCGAACCCACCCGGGGTAGTAATATACCAGATTTAGTTTTGTCAAACAGAGAAAACCTCATTGGTAATGTCAGGGTAGGGAATGAACTACCTAACAGCAGTCACAAAGAAGTGAGATTCAAACTAGAATTTAATGTCAGTCACATGGAATAGATCATTAAAGTCCCAGATTTCATAAGGGCAAACTTTGATAGGTTGAAAAGACAGCTGAGAGAAGGGATATTGCCACAGAGGGCGACCTCACTTTACCTGGAGGGAGACCTGACAACGATAACCTCTCAAAATATGACGGTTGAGGATGACCTGACCACGAGATCTGAAGTTGATGAGTTCCACAACAATTTAAATAATGAGTTACTTAATGCACAAAGGCAGAACATACCATACAAAAAACTCAGATCAAATAACAATGACCCCAAATGGGTAAATAATTATTTAAAGAATATTATTGTACAAAGGAAGGCTATAGGTAGAAGAATAAATCGTGGTGAAGTTTACCTCCGAGATTATTATAAGGTATTGGCCAGTAGGGTTAAGACCGAGATAAGAAAAGCATAGAGGAATAATGAACTGAAGGTAGCAAGGGAGGCGAAGTCAAACCCCAAGGGATTCTTCCAAATATATCAAACTAAAACACGAGACAAGATTGGACCAATACAGTCAAATACCGGCGAGCTAACAGTTTTCACCACTGAAAATTTAAACATGATACCCTAGGCACCGATTATATACAGAGATAGTGAAAAAAATGATTTAGCGAGATACTGTAGTAGGGACTAGTAATGATGTTTGTGAGCGAATAGACAAGTTGAAGCCTTATAAGTCACCAGGTCCCAATGAGATATTTGCTAGAGTATTAAAGGGATGTAAGGAAGAACTTTGTTTGCCCTTTGCAAATTTGTTAACATGTCCTTAAAAATGGGTGTAGGACCAGAATCATGGAGGATAGCGAATGTGATACAAATACTCAAGAAGGGAGATAGATCACTATCCTGTAATTACAGTCCAACTAGTTTAACATCAATTGTAGGCAAATTGCTGGAAGCAATAATTTCAAACTATTTGAAATCACCTGAAGAAGCACAAGTTTATCAATGATTTCCAACAAGACTTCACAAGTAGGCATTCATGTCTGACTAAACTACTGTATTAACATTCTTTTCAATTGTTTTTGATTCAGTGGATGACGGGCATGATTATGATGTGATATACCTTGACTTTAGCAAAGCATTCAGCCCCCCGACTAATACAAAAAGTGGAGGCTCATGGAATTAGAGGAAATATTCTAAAATGGATTAGGGCATGGTTACAGGACAGAAAACAATGAGTAAGCATTAACAGTACTAAATCCGATTGGGGTAACGTCACTAGAGGAGTACCCCAAGGCTTAGTACTTCGACCATTACTACTTATTATATACATAAATACATAGATATAGGCATAGACAGCAACATAAGTAAATTTGCTGATGATACTAAAATAGGGCTTGTAATTAAATCTGACTGGGACTCCGCAAAACTATGGGAAGATCAACAGAAATATTTCACATGGTCTGAAAAATGACAGATGAAATTTAATGTGGACAAATGCAAAGTACGTATACTTAGTTTTGGAGATATAAACAGATAAACCAGATATCAAATGAATAATATTGTTATAGAGAAATCCAACTATGAGAAAGGTCAATAAGTCAACAATGTGTATTTGCTCGAAACAAGGCCAACAAAGTACAGGTACTCCTCGACTTACGACCACCTGCACATACGACCGCCTCAGTCATGCAATTATTTTTTCAAATTACGTATTTTCGAATCCTGATGTTAGTGATCGCGCTTTGTAATGACAAAATTTTCGTTTGTAATTCCCTTTAAAATGGCTGGCAAGCGTAAAAGTGACAGTTCTCGTGGAGCTGAGAAGAAAAAGAGACACCCAATTTAGATTTTCTATGTATTATTTTCGCATTTTTGACTTACGACCTGGTCTTTGGCCCCTAACCCCGTCGTAAGTCAGGGACCGACTGCACTGTACTTGTGTTCATACAAAGGAGTGTTAGTTACAAGACTACCGAGGTTATCCTAAACTATATCTTGCGCTTGTGAGACCTCACTTGGATTATGCAGTTTAGTTCTGGTCACCGTACTACAGAATGGATATAGAATCCCTAGAATGAATTCAGAGGAGAATGACAAGACTAATCCCAGGCATTAGGAACCTTGAGTATAGATACAGGTTAAAGCATCTTAATTTGCACTCCTTCGAGAGACGTAGAGTGAGAGGCGATGTGATCAAGATGTATAAATGGAAGTCATGGCTAAACACAGGTGATATAACAAAGGTATTCAAACTATCCGACCAGGATTGAACTCTTAGCAATGGTTTTAAATAAGATAAATTTATATTTAGGTGCGAGATAGGTAAACATTGGATTGGAAGTAGAGTAGTGGATGAGTGGAACAAGTAACCAAACATTATCATTATCTCAAATATGCTGAATAGCTTCAACCATAGGGTGGATGGTTATATGAGCGATAAGGGTTGGGTGAAAACGGGACTGCCCATATGGGCCAATAGGCCCGCTGCAGTTTCCTCCATTCTTATGTGCTTGCTGTCAGTAAAGGCAGCCGCTAAACTTCCTCCAGTCAGTAGCATTTATTTTACAGTAGTCTGAGCTTATGGTCATTGCTATAAAAAGATCTTTGCCAGTAACCGTCAATTAAACTTGGGATTCATTTCTTGGTCAACCTTTTGTAAGACTGTGCATGTAAGTTAGCAGTTCACAACCTGTAGCTTTTTGTATTATTCAAGAAAGTAATCAACATTATTCTATAAAGAAAAAAATTAATAAAGCCTAGATAGAATTTTGTCGGTGCTTTGCTTGCCATAGCATGTGCTATTGTTTTTGCAGTTATCTCTGTTTTGCTGTGTATGTTCGTGTGTGCCTTTGAGAAAGAAACATTACCTAGAATAAACCCAATATAAATTAGGTTAAGTTACATGCGATAAAGGCATGGTCACGTGTCAAGATTACAGGCAAAGCATTAGAAATGGGTCCTGTAAACCTGATGGCCTGTTAAGGACAGTACACCAGTAGAGATGCAGCACTTATTCTAAGAGGGAGCATGGCCAGTCCTGCACTTGACTACCTTCACTTTCCTTAGCTGTAAAGTTAGTTACAATTCACAGCTGGGTGAACTTGGGATACCCTGGGCACAAACCAATGACCTTAAGGACAGGTGGTGGGCACTGTATCGACTCAGTTGCTGCACCCTAAGGCAGAACACTAAACTCGAGGATTATTTAATGTTTGGCACTTGTTGATGAAATGTTCCTGGGTATTGGACTTTATCTGTGGACCTCTTACCTTTGCCTAATACAGTACAGGAATCGTTTTGTCGAACATAATGTCCAAATGTTTCCATGTCCTGGTTTAAAGTTTCTACGAGGCAGAACAAGCCACCAAGTCTTCTTAGAAGGCTTTTGTCTCACTAAAATGTCTTTGAAACTTTTTAAATAAATTACTTCCTCTAAGTCCTTGGGTTCATTTTTCTAGAGTGAACATCCAGAATAACTATCACTTTTGGTTAAGATTTAGTATACCGGGGTAGGTCAAAGTTACAGAGGTCATGTGATCAGTATTTTCTGATGAAATTTTTGTCTTCTGTAGAAGACATTCCTTGGGTGACAAAAATATTGTAGAGTACTATCCTGTAGATGATCTTCATTTGTTGCTTGACTAAGTACTGTACAGTACTGTATGACAGGATAATTGATAAAAGTCAATACAGTACGTATTATGTTTTGTCTGGTTGTTTGTTTATTTGTCATCCTTAGCTAATAACTTTCAAACATGTTGAGATTTAGCCTCCAGATTCAGATATTAGATTACTGTATTAAGATCCATGAAGGGAAACTTGTTAACTTTAGTGGAGATTTAGTCATAGGTCATGGTCAAAGGCCATGTGATTAGCTGGCTTAATCTTTTTGATTAGATTCTAGTGTTCATTTGGCGGCTGCTGGATGATACCATACATGTTTACTGTACCGTACTAGGTGCTCCCCAGAGATGTTCTTTGGTTTATTTATAAGTGTTCTTAAGGTTCCCACTTTCCAAGTGGAGAACTTCAGAATAGTTTTAATGGGTTATCCCTTAATCTTGGGTGTTGATAATGAGAAGTAAAATTGTGTTCTGTAGGCCTGATGGCCCATTAACCCTTCAGCTGTGAAAAGCCAGTAAAGTTGTCTGCTCTAGATACTGTGCTAAACCAGTGGGCTCCTTAGATTTTGGCATAAATTTTTTAAATTGTGTGTAAAATGATACATTTGTAGACTTGTCCCATAGACCTAAAGGTCCCCAGCACCACCCTTGGAGTCCTAGCTACTCCTCAATACACACACAGTTGTCGTGGAGGAAGTATATTTCTCCATCTCCTAATGACATAGAGTCATCCACTGCTTGCAGTACAAGAGCCCTTAACCATGTCTAAACCAAACTGGATAAATTGTTTATTCTTTCATTGCCCATTAGCCTGCAAGCATATTTCTATTTTGATAAGAATGTTTTTTTTAAAAACTTCTATTTTTCATGACATTAAGCATCAAATTTACTGCAAGCACAGCTGAATGGTTAAGGGCAGTGTGATACAGCACACTGAGGCATTAAGAGTAAATGAGGAAGTATGGGATTGGAGGATGACATTTGTTTGATTCCTTTTTGGCTGTTCCAACTTCAAGTTGAAATATGATGACTGAGGAGAGGGGTAAACACATGTGACCCTATTGCTTTTTTAACAGCCGTACAAAGTTCAACCACCCTTACTGACTGATGATTCAAGTTGTATCATCCAAATCTCACCCTTTTGTTGACTTAAAATGTTGGTTGCATCATTCAAAATTAGGGTTCAACTTTTTTTTGGTTTAGTCATCATCATCATTTCATGTCCATTTTCCATGCTTGTGTGGGTTAGCCACAGTTACATGGTGGCAGCTTTCCTTGCTGCACAGTCTTGCAGTCTCTTGTCAGGTTCCTAACTTTTTCCCATGGCTCTCCACCACATTTAAACTCCAACTCATTTAAAACCAGACTTGACCAACACTGGCACAGGTTCAGATGCATTCTGGAGCCACTGCATCCCCAGTATTTGCCAGCAGTACAGAACAGAGATGTTAGCCCGAGTGGCTAACAGGCTGATCAGTGATGACGAGGATAAAGTATACTGTACACATAGGCACTGGGCGAGAAGTAGACAAGTGACTAAAGTAAAAAAAGACAGAAAATGCATTAACAGTTTAGAGGGAAGCTTAGGTATTATAATGGTATAATACAGTACACACATCTCGACCTGCTTTGTCACTTGTCTTTTTCTTGCCTGGAGCACCTCTGGTAGCTTCCCTGTTATGTAGAATACAGTACATTAGTGGGAGTTAGTGCTGATAAGTGAGTATGGTAAATTTTCTTAGCACTACTTACAGTACAAGGTACTGTACTCTTTTTACCAAAGCTATGACCCTTGTTCAACTCAAGAGTTTATCAGGGACTTACATCACCTTCAGCAATTTTGTTATTAACTGGTACTTATGGTTAGTGTTAAGCTTAATTGTTAGGTTATTCTGATCTTGAAGGGTAAAATTAGACTCGCTTGCTAAGTTTGCTGCGGCTTCCTTGAGTTTGAATCATCCTAGAGCCCTTGAGATGGTAAGTGTCCAACCTTGGCTGTTAAGTTGCCTGTGCTTGAACACAACTCTACTGTTGTATTCTTTATTACTCCACTAAGTCTGTGGAGAACTGATGGAAATTCATATAGCTAATGTGAAGTGTATTTTTGGTAATGCAGTAATAATTTACCTGTACTAACAGAACATTTTTATCCCAAATTTTCAGGCCATTGGAGCATGGAAGTATTGTGCAGCCAGTTTGCCTAATGGGGGTTCTCAGTCATGACCATCAGTTAACAATAAAACAGGGACCCCGAACCCATGGTCCTGAGCACACTGGTTTCCTCATAGCCCGGCCTGAGGTTGTTGGAAATGGAGTCCGACGACCAGGAGTATGTGGAGTCTGGTTCTGGGGTGATGGTGTCCAACCTCCCCCTCCTTTTTTCCTGGGGTAGCCCATCATCCCTTCATGAAATGAGTCTGGTGAGTGTAAACATTGAAACTATTTGTACAGATTATCAGAATCAGTTCATCCTTTATGCTTATTATCATTTTCAGTGGGGGGCATGGGTCAATTTATATTAGAGAACATATTTAGATACAGTATATATTTTTTTCTTATTATAATTTAAGGAAAAAGACGAATTTCTTCTTTTGCACTTTTCCCACATTTTACCCATAATTGAGATATTGTGAATTGAAAATCAGAACACTTCTAGAACATTCAATAATTTGTGGATTAAAAATGTAAGTTGGAATTGAACTTTATATGTTTTGTTGTCTGTGTTGAGTTTTTCATAATCAGGACCTTTTTTTAAATACATGTGCAGTACTGAATTAGCTGAAGATATGTACTCTGATAGACATGGAAAATTTGATAGGGTTACTGGTACTGTATGTATCACTTTCAGTAGCTAATTGTATATGGATTATTGTTCATTATTTTATGGTTTACTCATTGGCCGTCATCTAAACCATCCACCAAGTTTCAACAGATTCAGTCCACCTGTTAAGCTCTTAATGTTGTGTTTATTATTGCTTTGATTTGACATTTGAAGTACTTCTCCAGGCTTAAATCTGTTCATTTTTTAGCTTAAACAAAAACCATCTGTCAAGTTGCAACAAAATATATTAATCTCATTAGGAAATGTTATGGTAAGTTTACTTGAAACAAAAACAAATAAATTATGAATTTTGTTTCCTGCAGATAGGATTAATGAATGAAATGCTGAAAAAAATGGTTTGTATAGGTGTTGGATGAAGCAATAAACACAATTAAGATTGATTATACAGGATATTTTGGAAAGGTTTCATAATTTGGGGGGGTGTATTCCCGAGGCATATAAGTATAAATGACTCCTTGAAAATACAGTACATAAGAAAATAAGGAGTCTGCAATAGGTCGGTTGGCCTGTGCATGGCAGCTCCTGTCGAGAGTTACTACCACTCTCTATCATCCATGAATCTATCTGGCCTCCTTTTGAAACTTTCCAGCGTTCCAGCACTTACTACAAAGTTGCTAAGCTTGTTCCACTCGTCCACCACCATATTAGTGAACCACTTCCTTCCTATCTCCCTCCTAAACCTAAACTTTCCAACTTAAATCCGTTGCTCCGAGTCCTATCCTGCTCTGATATTATAAGAACTTTATATATATCCCCTTTATTGATTCCTTTCACCCACTTAAATACTTCCATCATATCTCCCCGCACTCTTCGTCTTTCTAGTTTCAGAGTTACAATGTATACCACAAAATTAGGTAGATGGGGACTGCAACAAGCCTATGGACATCAAACATAAAATATCGCTTTGGCAACAGGTTAAAGTTTACATTCAGGAAGGGGGTGGAACTTTGAACATTTACCGCATTTCCGTATCAGATTGCATATGATTGTAAATAATTTATACTATCAACACTGGATAATTCATTTTTAATATGTGGATTTGATCACATTCCAACCCCAGCTGTCATGTGTTATAACTCTGAAACTATGGTTTATGGACACTGGTCATGAAATAATTTATCCTAATGTATTTCTCATGAATACATCCCCAGAATTATGAAACATTTCCAAAACATGATTTGATACTAGCATATACTGTACCCCTCCATGAATGTCTGTCAATGAATGTCCCTATTGCTTGCATAAACGGAGACAATCAAGATTGTGCCTGACTCCCGAAGTTACATCTATCATTGACCAGACAGGTATATGTTAAGTAAAGAAGCTTGGGTGGCAGTGATATTTATGAATTATAAAAGAAAAAAAAATGACTGCATATAGTACAGGATACTGTAAAGCATAAGTACAGTTAGACAAGATAATTTTTATTACGTTGCCAGGGATATTATTGGAGGTTGTTTATGAGGGGAAAGTTGAAAACATTGTCCAGGCAATATTGGATACACTGACTGTTTATGGAGTGGTGTGGGAGGGAGGCCAGGTAGAGGAGAGTTTCCTCTGGGACTTTGACCTCAGATTAACGTGAAAAAAGTACAATATCCCATCAGTAGCCAAGGAAGGGTATGAGAGTATTAGATTTATTTTGTCTCTTCAAGTTGACATCAGCTTAACAACATGGTTTTAATGTGATGTTTGTACGAAGGTGTATAGGGTATAGAAAATGATATGGCGTGTTTAATTTTTTGTTTCAGGCTGAGCTGGAAGTGTTTGTCCCATTTATGGTGCGTTGCAGTATTGGAGAGGAACGTCAAGTACCATGGGCACAACTCCCAAGACCTACCTGGTGGCCAAAGAAACGCCCATTCCGCATGCCAACAGCCTTCAATACCATTGCCACACGGGCAGCTTTGGTGAGTATTTGGTGGAGGGGGACTATCAAGGCAGAACACATTTTCAACAGTTTGAGAGAGTGAGATACATTGTGTGAAGGAAAGATTTGTATTGGTCATGATTTTGGCCTTCCTGTATAGTATAGTAGTAGGAAGAGTGGTATGAGCATGCTGAAAGAATGGGAATGATAATGTGAAGGATGCTGTTAAAGTGAGGGGGATGAACACCCAGGAGGCATCAGTGTGTGTGAATGAGTGGTAAGTACGGTATTTTCTGATTACAGTAATATCTCTGTTAGCTGGAATCCCTCAAACCCGGAACCCTCTGATAGTCGGAATTGAAATTTTCTCGGAAAATCGTTCCCAAAGCCATAATTTTCCGGAAAATTTCGGCTTTAGGAATGATTGTCCGAGAAAATTTTCCCGGGACCCAGAAAATTCCAAGGATGGGTTTTTTTTTCGGGAAATTTTCGGGGATAAGGGAGTTTTTCTCCGGGCCCGAGAGATGATGTAATGGGCAATTTCTGGAACTTCTGAGAAAATTTTTCCGTCACCCGGAAAATTCCGGGGTTGAGGATTTTTTTCCGGCTGTGAGAGTCATCTTGTTACCCGGAAATCTCTCATTCCCGCAAGTGCTCTGCACCATTTGTTGAGTGGAGATATCACTGTATTTGGGGAAGGACGTGCTGCTCATGGGTGGTTCCAGGCTTGTGTGAAGTGCCATGGATAAATTAGATTTGGGGCCTTGTTTTAGAAAGGGAAACAAAGGCTGAACATGTCTTCTACAGCATTCTCATGACTACCTTGAACATGCAGGTTTTGTTCACATTTGAGTTCTGTACGGGGCATGTCTTTACCCCTTGAGTACTATGAGAACCTTACAGTCATCACACTCAAGGAGTTAAGCCTAGTGTCATTGTACCTGTGGGTTTGGGTCATCATACACACAAGTGGTTAAATGCATACAGTATACATTATGTAGATATGGTTACACATGTTATGATTATAAAGAGTGAGTATGTTGAAGAGGTGTTACACTGATGGATCACTTTTGTTGTTCAGTATTCTAATACAGTATATAATTCTACCAGTTATCCATGTGAGTTGAATGGTGCATCAAAATGTTTGAATATTGTAAAAAAAATCAAAATTTGTCAACCACTTGAGTGTTTGATTTGACAGTTTTTGTTATGTTAAAAAAAAAATCCTGTACCTACTGAACCATTGTATTAATAGTACAGTACAGTATTCCATTTACATTTAAGTGGGTGGTAGAGGAGGTATAAGGAATTTGAATATAACCCATAAAATTGCGACATTGATTTAATCAAAGGCTAAATGTAATTGTATTTGCAGTTTATTATTTTGTTGAGATTATACAGTACAGTACCCTGTACTTGGATTTCTTAGAGAACTGTTGTCACAGAGGGGCAGTATTGTGTGTGTTGGAAGGGTGATATTGAGTGAACATGCTTGTTTTTGGGTGTCAACAGGTGTCATATGTCCTTGATAGGGTTTGAACATTAGTATGCAGGAAGAGGTATGGCTGAAGGAATGCAAGCAAAAGCAGTGGATAATTCAAGGTTTGCCAAGAGGATAAAGAAAGCAAGAATGACAAGGAGAATGCAAGCACAGAAAAAAGATGATTAAGGGGTTGAGGGGGGAGGAAGATTCTGTGAGCGATCAGGATGATGTGTAAACATAGGGAGTGTACAAGACAGTGGTTAGTTAAGTAAAGGATGGAGAGCTAAGATGTTATTTAAGGTAAATTAAAAGAATGACTGGATATTTGACTTTAGGTGCAAAGAACATCTGGAGTAAATTAATGCAAAAATTATTCATTTGGCGGAAATTTCATTAAGAATAAATTTTGACATTTTAGAACTACAATACTGTATTGGCTTTGATTTATTTTTTCCCCTCTCAAACTTTTGTGTGGATTACTTCAAGGTTTTCATTAACATTAAAAAGGGGGGATAGGGGAAATGGTGTGGTAGCTCTCATGATGCAAGACAACAGGAAAGGGCTGAGACACTTTCAGAAACATACCACATTTACTCATGAGTCAGGCTAATGCTGACAGGATTTTCCTTCTTTCGCAGGTGGACCTGGTGGAGCGATGTTACAGTTTCCATGGTTGCGAGTACCTGTTACAGTTTTGTGCCTCACTGGTATCTCAGATGCCTGTGTCCGGTTATCGTTTTAATGATAACCGGGATGGCACCACCTCTATGTATCATGGGACTACTGGCAAACTCCTCGTCACCTTCAGGAATGAGAACAGGGTGAGTACACATTTTTGTTTTACTTGACAGCAAGAAAATTTGCCAACTTGTTGATGGATGTGGGGTAAGTACAGTATTTTTACTTATTATTATTTATTTTGTCTGGTACAGTTGGGGTCAAAGTTCTTTTCCCTCCCAAAATGCAGCAGCATCGACCCCAAACGAGATACAACAGTTAAGGTAAGTCTGTTCGGAGACTCATTCCCGTGACTCGGTTTCACAGTGGGGAACGAACTTTTGTCCGCTCTTGTCTTGTGGGTGAGATGAATTAGATTTCTGCATTTGGGATTTTTTATGAGTTTTCCATCTTCCTGTTTCAAAGTGGTGATTCTTATTACACCAATTGGTGGTGGTATTGGAACAGAAGGGTTGTATGTCATGTATCAGCAGTTAACTACCCGGTACAGTATTTGTTTATAGATGGCAAGTTGAATTGCTTGTCATTTGCAACATGATGCCTATTTACCATATACAGATAAATATTGTACAATACTGCACTGTATTTCACAAAAGCTTCGCTAGATGCACAGACAGAAAAAAGAGTGACCACTGAATATCACAAAAAATTTTTCCCAACAAATAAAAGTAAACTATTGTAGGAAATTAAACAGCAAGTGAGATATAGCATTGGAGATAGCAGGACTTTGTTATATATTATGGATTTAGTTGTGTTCATTGTGTGTGTGAGGTGGTGTCGTAAGGTTGAAGTTTGTGGCAACCAGTGCGTGTGTTAGTTCTATATCCATGCAGTGGCAGATGCATGCATAATGCTTCGTTACATATTTTCGATGTATGACTGGTGTGCCTCCAACGTTTGTCACTTCTCTCTTCAACTGCCGCTATTTTATAGATATATTACATCGTTTAGACATTGGAATGTGTTTGTTGTGTTTACTTTATATAGTACCTTGTTGTGTGTTAATATACAGGAGGTAAAGGGCAAATTTATTCTCTCTCTCAATTCAGGAGAGTTAGGCTTTCAACTTTAAGCCTGCACAAGTAAAAACCATCAATTTCGATCACGTGGACGAAACGCCTGAGCTCCATGATATGCACATTTCTAGTCATGTCCTCCACCTGACACTTGTGGTGCCTCAACCATTGAAGTAATATGTTGGTGGGTTGACTGATATCTTCCACCAATATATTATGGGTTGTGAGGTTGTAAAGGACTCGGGGATATATCTTGATAGTTAAGGTAGTTATTGTATGAGTAACCTTAACCTCCCGTGGCTGTAGTCTTGCTGGATAATATTATAAAGTATTGTATGTACTATCTCACTTCAAACTCATAGTATCAGATTTTTAGCCACGTTTTATTAGGCTTTCCTGTATGCGAAAGTTCGTTAAAAGGGAATTGTATTTATTTATTTTTTTACTTATAAATGGTGAGAGGGAGAAAGGCAACTGACATATCAAATCTGGTCAACAAATTTCCCCGTGCCAAAGGCTGAAGGTATTTTAAGCAAGACGTTTTGAACTGTTGGGAGTTTGGTATTGGAAAACACTGTCGTAGTTCCCCTGGGTGCTAGTTAAGGCTAGGGTACGTTAATATTAAAGTTTAATCATCGAGTTAAATAAGGGGGGGTTTATCTTCATGTGATCCGTTGAAGTACTGTGAAGTAGTACCTGTAAATATTAACCCACGTTCGTATAACCACTTTGATAGTATTCTAAAGTAGATAATGTAATTTGTTTTGATCTGGAATAGTACAGTCATCATCTTTAAATTCTGATCTGAACTGATGGCAGCTGGGTGAGGTGCCTTTTAGACTAATTGTTACATAGTAAATTGCTCTATCTGCGCCCACTAATTGTAATTTGAGTAAAGTGCTCGAATGTGTTATGAAATAATGTGAAGAATTATATTCTAAAATAAATATTTTTGTGGTAGCAGTATCCCAGATATTATATATCATAAACATGTTACGTTTCCCGTTGTTAGCTTGTTTGTTTTGAAGCACGCGTCGATACTGGCAAGAAATGAACAGCTACATGGGATAAGAAACCAATTAGGGATCATGTACGCATAGCTACGTCCTAAATAATTCGTTGTGAACCAGCTCTGCAAAATATTATCGCTAGTAATCTGTTCGCAACGTTCTTGGCCTGGAGCTGCATATTTACAGTTTAATTTGTCAGCATGTTTGACACTGAACTCGTGGTAATGACGTTGGCGGACACGTCATTGCTACGTCACTCCATATAGTCGCCGCAGCCAATCACGAAAGGATTTCATCATGTGTTGCGTCTTGTGGTTATTTTGTAGCCAATCGTGCGCGTGGTGGTGTTGACTTACACAGCACGGACACCTTGGCTGTCTGATTTGTACGTTATATTTCGCGTCACATTCTTCGCGTATTACATACAAAGGTGATGTGAAACCATGTTTAAGAGTGTAGCATTTCCTTAATTTTAAGGCCTTACAGCTCGATTATTAGAGAACTGAGAACACATTTTTATACAATTGATGTGTATATAGTTTTGTTTCGCTGCCTTTGTCATTGTAATTCATTTATGGATATGAATATGAAATTAAGTTATTAATGCTTTTACCCTTGTCGTTCCGGTTATTGTTAGCAATAAGTAATAGTCATTTAGAGTTGGTGTCGTCGTCGTCGAGATAAGATGGATCAGTGCCATTAGAAGCATGCTTCAGCGTTAGCTAGGCTGGAAGTGGTGGTTCAATGGCGTGAATACCTCAGCATTCAACTTGTCAGGCGCCTTCCTAGCTGCTGCGCACTACTGCGCTGGCCATGTTGACGTTGACGTTGTGTAAGCTGTAATTTCATAATGGAGCTTCCCTCCCTGACCAGATATCCCTCCTCCTAGTGACAGGCCTGGCACTTGACATTATTAGGGACCTCACGCTTTGCCATAAACAGATGAAATGTACCGGACCCCCCACACTCGTCATTCTGTCACTTTATGTAACTTGTTGACAAAACCTATGATCCTTCAGGCTTCTACGCCCTTAATGCATGAGTCATAAAGGCAAGCATGAGCTTAGCATCCTTCCCAGATGGGCGCTGTAAACGCTTCTGCGCTTCACCTTGCACAGGATGTAAGGGGGTGCCCAATAAACTAGCCCCCTCGCGGGCAATCTAAAAACAAAAACAAAATCTCATAAAGGAGCCTTGTTGTAGACGTAACTTAATAGGCATAACTGTAATCATACATTTAGAATTAAGTAAATTTGAAACAAAAGCCGATTGAATTATTACAAAGATGTTAATCTTTAGCAACATCATATTTTATTTATTTTATACGTAAAGCCATACCTAAGAGGAATAATTGTAATGTACAGAAATAGAAATGTGAAAAATGAGATACTTTGGTCATATAATTAGGGATGAGGGAATAATAATAAATATTAGTGGGCAAAGTTGAGGGTAGTAGGGCCATGGGAAGGCAGAAACTGAGATGAACGAATGAAATTAAAAACTGGGTCCCCAGAGATATACAAAAGCCTTAGACTTAGAGGGTTGGTAAAAACAGCCCGAGAACATTTAGAGTGAAGGACTGTGGTCGCCAACCCTCAGATATGAGGGCGGTACTCTGATAGCTAAGACCAACATAATTATCATCTTGAAGCAGACGAATAAAATGAGAGCGAAATACTATACGGCAGTGTTATTTTGTAGACAATTATTATGGAATGACAACAACATAAATTAATGGTATTTAGAAGTACTGTACTGTTCAGTTCATATTGGAAATAATACCTAAATATTCACGAGTTTGATATCTTATTTATATTTCAATATATTATTTTGAACATACAACATTGTTACCTTGACCATATTAAAATAGCCACCTGCGCTATTGCGCACTGTAACTTCATAATTAAAATAACCTCCTCTGAAAATAATTTAATATATACATAATTTGGTGAAGTAATTTTAGTTATAATACAGTAGTGACATTTCCAGCGTAATTATGTAAAAGATAAAGTGAATATGAGAAATGTGTATCATATATTTTGGGATATACTGTATATTTTTTTACACGTAATTTGATGAGTATTGTAATTAGGGTCATTAGGGAGGTATTTTATCTGGGTCTATATGGTAAGTATTTATTGTAGTTAATTATAGAATAAGTATTTTCTATGCGTTATTAAGACCGAACTAATTTACCCAAACCAAATTTAACATGACATTGTAATGTAAGGTAACCTGACGTAACTTAACCTTACATAACCTAATCTAACCCGACCTTATGTAATCTAACTTAACTTAAAGTATCCTGATTTAACCTCACCTAATGTAACGTAATCACATTGATAGAAAAAGATGCTACTTAACCAAATTAAACACATTGTAACCTAACCTAACCAACCTTGACTTTAGGTAATCGGTTTTAAGGTGTTAATAATCGGCTTTATGTATTTATAATCGGGTTTTAAGCGGTTTTTAATCGGTTTATAGTCGGTTTTGGGTATTTATAATCGGTTTTAGGCGTTTGTAATCGGTTTTTGTGTGTGAATCGGGTTTACGCTGTTTTGTAGCTTTTTGTAGTCGGTTTTAGGCATTTACAATAGTTGTAGGTGTTTTGATCTGTTATAAGGTGTCTATTTGAGAGCATTAAGGTTGTGGTTTGTGTAAGGAGCGCTTCCCAGTGGAGTGACCAAGGGTGGTGTGTAGGATCCGCGGACAAATTTAAACTGGGCCCACCGGACAGAATTCAATTGGATTATACCCTACCGGACAGAATTTCATTGGACTATTTCACGCAAATGCGGTTAGAAATAAAAAAAAGTGGATAATTATCAAGAAAATGGTTATAAGATAGATTGGGTTGGAAGAAAATGGGGTCTAGATAAACAATTGGAGATGTACGGCAAGAAATGGGTTGTAGTAGAAAAATGGGCAAGGCAGGTGGAAGGTTTGGGAAGCGACGAGAATATGCAGTGTGACGTTACCACGAGGCGAGTCGGGAGATAACGTGACCAAATACCTTGTTGTTGACCTTGATTGCGTACGTGTTTGTATTACTCT